AAACATAATTTTAAGATGGAATCATGATGTGGATTTGCCTTTAAACGAAAGTGATGTAATTCTGATTTCTAATACTTTAACTTGTTTCTTTCTTGCATCATATCTAACAACTTCTGTTTCGATGATGGCAATGACAGAGAGAGAACTCGGATGTTGTTAACAAGTGCTGCATATGTTCATCTGAAGCACTCCGACTTATCCAAGCACACCCGGAATCTTTCACCTGCAAGTAGAGCTATTTTGCTCTCAGGACCTGCAGGTAGGCTACTTAGAAACGTTATCCGATTTTGGGGATTTTCCGCTTAAATACTCGTACCTTAACCTTTTCCATAAGCTAATCTAATTGCATCTCTTGTTTCCCAAAGAACTTTATCATCAAATGCTCGCCAAGGCTTTAGCGCATTACTTTGAGTCGAAGTTGCTGCTGTTGGATATAACTGATTTTTCGATCAAGGTAAATATTTGTAATACAGCAGTACTATATCAGTCTGTCTTTACATGTTTACATGAAATAGATTTGGCTTGTAATACAGTAGTACTAATAACTGTCAATTTTACATGTTTGCAGATACAGAGTAAATACGGCTGTGCCAAAAGAGAATCAGTAAGTGTTCTCTGCTTCTTACTGAGAAATTAATCATGTTTTTTCCTTTCCGGAGTCTTAGCGTACATCTTAAGTTTAGCAAGTGATGAAACCGGGATCCATACTTTGTTTAAACTCAATGTTATGCATTTCTGCATTTCATGTATCTTCGTCAAAGTATTGAAATTTTATTGAAAGGAAAAGTTCGAATTTGCTCAATTGGATTTTTTTTTCTTTTGCCTGATTCATTGCATTCTTTTTGTAGCATCATAAGAGGTCCATCTCAGAGGTTACGTTGGAGCAAATGTCCAATTTGCTCGGTTCCTTCTCAATGCTCCCTTCACGCGGGGACACTAAAGGTACGAAGGAAATATAGCTATATTTTTTCGTTAAAGCTCCTCTGATCAAATCCTATCTCTTGCTCATGTCCTCAGTTCAGTGACTATTGGTAATGTCCACACTCCACACTTCACTGCTATTATAACTAATTGTTTTCTAACAGGTACGTTATTTCGGCAAAGCAGTTCTTCTGATCTCAAATCAAGGTATGGTATTGGATGATTGATTCTTGAATCAAGTGTCCTGATGCTTATGAAAAGTGTCGTTTCTAAGACACCATTATCTCACACCCGCAGGGGAACAGAAGGGCCAACTGGAACGCTTCAAAGAAATGCCTCTTCTGCATCTGATATGAGTAGCATGAGTTCCAAATCTGCTTCGCCAAGTTCAGGTTTGTTCATACAGTAAAATACCGGCTGTTTGAGAACCTGACTTTATGCTTTAGCTATGTGTGGAATCGCTTATCATTCTGTAACAATCTTTCTTTCTTTTTTCAGCTCCTATCAAGCGCGTGAGCAACTGGTGTTTCGATGAGAAACTTTTTCTGCAGTCACTGTACAAGGTAATGTCTTTTCTTTTGGTTATATACAAGGTAAGATTGCTTGAAAATGTTAGCATAGTACTAATAGGCATGAATCTTATTTCTCGTACAGGTCTTATCTTCGATATCAGAAACTGGTTCCATCATTTTATACCTCAGGGACGTCGAGAAGCTTTTTCTCCAATCACGGCGGATATACAATTTGTTCAACAAAATGTTGAAGAGACTTTCAGGGTCAGTGTTGATACTTGGTTCCCGAATGGTAGACGCTGAAGATGATTGCAAAGAAGTCGACGAGAAGCTTGCTGTTTTGTTCCCCTACAATATTGAGATCAGACCCCCAGAAGACGAGACTCATCTTGTCAGCTGGAAGTCAACTGGAAGAAGACATGAAGATGATCCAATTTCAAGATAACAAAAATCACATAGCCGAGGTGCTTGCGGCGAATGATCTTGAATGTGACGATCTTGGTTCAATCTGCCATGCAGACACAATGGTACTCAGCAACTACATAGAAGAGATTGTGATTTCGGCGCTATCTTATCATTTGATGCAAAACAAGGATCCAGAATATCGAAATGGAAAGCTTGTTATATCGTCGAGGAGGTAGATTCAAAATTTTCTGTATGCTTGATTTCTCAGTTTCATAATTTCTATGGTTATATTTCACTGCAAAACCGACCTTTTTATGATTTTATCCATCTAATTACGATTCTCAATCTGGAACAGTTTGTCCCATGGATTGAGTATATTCCAGGAGGGAAAATCTTCTCTGAAACTGGAGACCAATGCCGATTCCAATAAGGTTTTTCTTCTACTTTCACTTTTAACCTCTTGATGTTTTACATTTCGAGTAGCGGATTAAATGGAACTGCTATTAAATTCTGATGGCTTAATGGTTTCTTTTCTCTTAAATTTTAGAAAACCGAAGGGGAAGAGGCTGTTGGTGCAAAGACTGAATCGAAGTCTGAAACTGCAGCACCGGAAAACAAAGGTGAAGCAGAGAAATCTGGTCCTGCGGTGAAGAAGGACAGTGAGAATCCACCTCCGCCAAAAGTAGTAAGTTCAAGTCCTTCAGTACTATCAACAAAATCCAGATGGTTTACCGTGTCTGTTTTGTTCAGAGAAGGGCGTCTTTGTTGTCTTATAAAAATTCATGGTGTTTGTGCAGGAAGTGGCACCTGACAATGAATTTGAGAAGCGCATAAGGCCGGAGGTTATCCCTGCAAATGAGATTGGAGTCACATTTGCAGATATTGGTGCATTGGATGATATCAAAGAATCACTTCAGGAATTGGTCATGCTCCCGCTTCGAAGACCAGACCTTTTCAAAGGTGGGCTTCTGAAGCCTTGCAGAGGCATATTGCTTTTCGGTCCTCCTGGCACTGGAAAAACAATGCTGGCAAAGGCCATAGCAAGTGAAGCAGGAGCAAGTTTCATCAACGTGTCTATGTCCACGATCACCTCAAAATGGTTTGGAGAAGATGAGAGAACGTTCGAGCTCTGTTCACACTTGCAGCAAAGGTCTCCCCAACTATCATCTTCGTGGATGAGGTTGACAGCATGCTTGGGCAGCGAACCAGAGTTGGGGAGCATGAGGCCATGAGGAAGATTAAGAACGAGTTCATGACACACTGGGATGGACTTTTGACAAAGACAGGGGAGAGGATTCTTGTTCTTGCCGCAACCAACAGGCCATTTGACCTTGATGAAGCAATCATCAGGCGATTTGAGCGGAGGTATAGGTCCGCATTGTGTTACATTCATATTTTTCTTCATTCTTTTTCACTGTCGGCTAACTCGAAATCTTTTTCTGTGCTGAACAGAGTCATGGTTGGCCTTCCCTCAGTCGAGAACAGGGAAATGATCTTGAGAACTCTTCTTTCGAAAGAAAAGGTCGAAAATCTGGACTTTAAGGAGCTTGCAACCATAACAGAAGGATACAGTGGAAGTGATCTTAAGGTTAGTTTTCAAGTTGACAATATTAACAACCAACCTTAAATTGTGACTAGTACAACGAACTCACGAAACTAAATCCTGGAAAACAGAACTTGTGCGTGACAGCAGCCTATCGACCGGTTAGGGAGCTTTTAAAACAGGAGAGACAAAAGGATATGGTAATTCACTACATTTACGCTCCTCCTCTTCATCGGCATATTCTTTTTTCTTTCCGATTTTGGTTTAAGAAATGCTTAACGATTTTGATAAAACTTGGAACTACAGGAAAAGAAGAAGAAAGATGCAGAAGAAAAGAGCACTGAAGAAGCTTCAGAACCAAAAGAAGAAGAGAAAGAGGAGGGCGTAATTACCCTGAGGCCTTTAAACATGGAAGATATGAGGCAGGCAAAGAATCAGGTAACAAACTTCACCTTCTTTTCGCATTTTATCCCCCAAAAACTCTCGATTTTTGTTCGAATTGCGTTTATGTTTATGCATGTGTATGGTGTAATGTAGGTTGCTGCAAGTTTCGCATCAGAAGGATCGGTAATGAGCGAGCTGAAACAGTGGAACGAACTGTATGGCGAGGGTGGCTCGAGGAAGAAGCAACAACTGACTTATTTCATGTAAACTACTAATACATACGGGGAAGCCGGCAACTTAGGCACTGGTCATCAGCTTCATTCTTTGAGGAAGAATGTGAAGGGATTGAGGAAGATGGAAACTCCACATGAAAAGCAACAATGTTCGATGGCTCGCGACAGTGTGACGGTCAACTCGAAGCAGCTCTAGCTTCGACGCTCAGGCGAGGAAGAAACCTTACAACGCAAGGAATGTATATATCGGTGTACAAAATGTAAGCGTAGCCACAGTTATTTGGGATTTTTTTAGTCCATGTTCTGTGAAAAATGTGTGGAATTTGGAGATGCTTGTGGGATTTCAGATTGGTGAGAGGAAACTTGGGGCTGAATTTAAAGAGCATTTGTGAACATTGTTCTTAAGTTGTGTAATTATTTGATAGTGCAATGCTCTTTATACATGTATATTACTAGATTTTGCTTTATTTTTTCTTAATATATTATTATATGAAAGAAATTATTATTTTAGAAAATTCAAGACGAAAAGATGATTTATTCAACATTAAAGCCAATTAATTCCACCAAAGTTTGATACAAACTAGTGTTGTATCGGGTCGGTTTACAACCTTAATACAAGTACTACTAAACTAAAAGCTAGTTAATAAGCACTTTAAACTACTTAAATTAACGGTACTGTCATTCTCCATCAATTACTGAAAATGTTAACGATTAACACAAGTAAATTGTCACAGTGACGTCTCTTCACTTTAGCGGTGAGTCTTGCTCACAATTCTCATAAATATATATATATATATATATATATATATGTTAATTTCTCTTCACTGGGCCACCTAGTTTTTAGATTTCAACCCTTCAATTCAATTCCTATTTAGATTACGTGGAGATCATGTTTTGAAATGAATTAGTCAAACATAAAAATAAATTTAATAATTTGGACGATTACTTGTTCCACAAGAATTGCTATGCAATTTGAACCTACACGCAACATTGCCCAGGTGCTAATAAGAAAATTAGACTTAAAACTTTCATATACTATTAATAGCGAAGGACAGTAAACTGTGCGAAAAACAGTAAGCTGTAACCAGTACTAAACCACAACGCAGAAAGACAGTAATCTAACGGAATTAAACGATTTCGACTAAAAACAGTGACTAAAATGTGAACCCTAGTAAACGCTTAACATCGTAACGACGTGTCTAATCCTTCTTCTTCTCCTTCACTGGACCCCTGGGGATTTTACTCAAAACCTTGGCATCAAACACCGCATACTGCTTCTTTATTTCGATCCACGCCTTCTCGCCAAAGGCATCAATCTGGTCATCGTATTTCTCATAAATCACCGGCAGAGTGTGCAGCAACACAAAAACTGGCATTCAACGTTCGAGACAAAGTCAATAATAGAAATGAAAGCTTCCCGAATCTGAATTCTGAGAGGCACGAAACAAAATTGAAACTGAAACGAAACCATCCTTACTTATGTAGAACAGGGTCAGAAAGTTGAACCATTTCCCAACCACCGACAAAATCCACAAGACGGCTATAACCTGATATCAGAAGAGCAACAACTAGTGACTAAATAATCCAATAACAGCCTAAACATACAGCATAACTATGAACGAAAGATCAACTTACTCCAAGGAATGTCTTCAAATCTCTTCCAGATGCAATATCCCGCAAAACGTAAAATCCTTTGTTGATTTCAATTCTCAGAGCAGAGGCAAGTTCAAGGACAGTCTTCTCAGGAATTTGAACTTTTGGGATTTGTGGTGGCGACCTGATTAAAGAATGCAGTCAAGTCAAGACCATAAGATACTGCTTCAAGGATCAAATATGCGAAAAACAAACAGCTAGAACACCCAACGCCTTACTTGTTGATAAAGGTGGATGCATAGGACCACAGGAAAAAGACCGCCAGAGAAAGTATCAATAAATGGCACACCAGAGTGATTAAGTGGTACTCGAGCAACTCAAAGAAAACCCATAAAACAGTGGCACCGCCGAGGACACTTGCAGATATTTTCTTGTTCCTCCATAGGAGAACATCAGCAGCTGCAATGAAAGACCGACATTAGATCGCAATTGATGGCATTTTCTTTCCAAGTTTCTTCTTTCAAACGTAGTTCATTAACGCACAAACGGAAAACTGTTATGGAAAATCTTTCTTTTCTAGGCCATATTATTACAAACAAATCACCATTTTCCGAATTCAAACTGATCATGTCCGTATTGCTACGTATCCGAAACCAGGACAAAATAAGGAAATACGATCAATGTAGGTTTATTGCATCAACTGGCAATCTATACAGTATACACAAATCAGAAAGCACATAAACAACAAATTATTATAACTATTCAAATCAACAAATTAAAAAATGCCAAACAATTCTTCCCCAAATTCATAACTTTCAAGATTAATCACAGCCATTAGGAATATCTAATCACTAATACTAAACAAAAGTTCTATAATTTCAAGAAAAATATCGAATTAATAAACTGAGATTAGCTCGCTCAAACGAAGATTCTTGTTATTTCAAGAAAAATTTCACTTTCGATGCAATTCAGGTGAACAGAATAATTAATATTCAATCAGATCAAGGTAATCAACTTTCAGAATTTCAGTTTCTTCATAATTTCCCACATTTTCCGATCAGCCAAACAAAAAACACCAAATCCATGCAAAATATTTATGCTAGTGATGTATAAACGGATTAAGAGAGGGAAAAAAATATAGTACGTTTGCCGCCGCCCAAGACCTTGTGAACAGGCTTTTCTCTCCCGAAGAGCCTGAAAATCTTGGATTTGACGGAATCGTGCGCCGACGGCTTGTCATCAACCTTGGTTTTGACGGCGGCAGCGCGCTTGGACTTCTTGTCGTCGTCGGAGTCCGACGAAGATGAGGAGTGGTGGCTGTGGATCTTGTCCATCAGCGATGCGGCTGTTGGTTCTGGCTCCGCCATGGATTCTCAGATCGATGAGAGAGAGAGAGAGAGAGAGAGAGAGAGAGAAATGGTCCAAATGGAGGTGGTAAATTTTTCAAGGCGTTGATATCAGAGAGAGTGTCATGCGTGTTTCGTAAATTTAATTATTTTTAGAGCGAGAAGTTAGGGAGGTGCAATCTGGGCCGTTGAAAGATGGTGAAGAAACCAAGGAAAGCACTACGGGGCGGGAAAATCTCGCATCCCGGAGCTTGTGGTGTTTCTGTGATCGCATCGTGAGCGCGACCTATCCCCTTATTTAATTACCCACCAATTTTAATTAATTAATTAATTAATTGTTTTCTATTTGTGTTTCCTTTTTCCAACAATTTAAGTGCAATCAAATTCTAATTTAGATTGCAAACGTCATGTCATAATTGAGGAATTTGTTGGACCGTAGCAATTTGGTGCATGCTCTTTTTCAAAGTATTACTATTTTTTATGCATAACAAATTTAAATTTTTTAACAGGCGATAACGTTGGTAATTTTTTTCTTCTTTCTTAAAAAAAAAATCAATTGGTGCCGAAGTTCACCATTCTAGAAGATAGGAAGACTCATAAAGGCATTTCAGTCTCTGCTGGTCACTATCGCGCGATTTATCAAGGGATATAGAATTTGTCCCAACCACTGGACCACTCCATGATAGTTAACATTAGTGGGTTAAATTGTTAGTTGTTAGAGAAGGGGATCAGTGGAGATCAAACTCACAACATGATGAATTGATATGATTATTTTCCATCACTACAGTAAAGCGCAATCTGCTATACATAACGAATTAAAACAATAAAAAAAGGGACAATGACAAGGAAAATGCCACCAATAAAAGAATATTAAATAAAGGGGTGTGACTTTAAAGTTATGTATCATTCAATACTACAAGTGTTTTAGCTCTTAGATTTAATTTACACAAATATTTAAATCCTCTAATTTCAATCTCACTCATTCGTTTCTGTATCATTCAATGTTACATAGTATTGAAGAAGTTTTCTAAATGGAGGAAAGATGTCGAAATACACTAGCATATATGAACTAGAGTAATTAGAGTAAGTAGACTAGTTTTGAGACGGTTGTGTGATCGTCTTCTTACATATAAGTTGGATCTTTCTCTTCATAATTAGAGTAATTCAAAATATCGTATAATTAGAGTAATTCAAAATATCGTATATGTGTTTGTTGTACTAATAGAACACCTATCATGAAGAATTGGCATGCAATTGGAGTATTAGAGTTTTAAGTTTCCATAGCAAGTGCAGCAAGAAATACAACTTAGGCATTTCCTGTCGTTTCACCCTTCTAAAAATCTTACCGAATACAAATTAGATGGAAAGACATATAGATATAAACTACATAAAGGTTTAGAAAATATGCAGATGGATGCTACAGTTTTGAAGTAAATCAAGATTCAAAGTTGAGAGATACCCACCGATTTGGAGTTGGCAAAGCAACGATCAAGATGCCGGAGACGTTTTTTCATGTTAACGTTGTCAGGTTTCCGCCGTGGGACATGCTTCAACATTGCGGTGGCGGGTTAGCTTTAAATTGAAATCCACTGCCGTCGGAAGGGCTTCTTGCTTCCGAAAGAGAGATGTTTTGGAAGAAGAGTTGCCAATCATTTGAATTATTTGGTACAATGATTCTGGGAGAAATGAAGAATATGCCAAGAGGCTATAGTTGTCGATAGAATAACAGAACCTCACAGAAGAATATGCTTTCTCTCTTTCTTCTCCCAATTGATTTAGGGCTCGTTTATAACTGTTTTTAAAATGGCTGAAAACGATTTTTATGAAGAATAAAATGTTGAAACCAATCTTTAAGGGGTGTATTCAATTGGGATTTTGAGAGATTTTAATTCTTTTAATGAATCTGGGGGTATTCAATCAGGATTTTAAGTAATTTTCTAAAATTCAAGGTGTATTCAATTAGAATTTTAAGATAGTTTATTAAAATCCTTAGAAATCCGGGTGTATTCAATTAGGATTTTAAAGAAGTTTATAACATTTCAGGTGTATTCAATTAGAAGTTGATTTTAAAGAATTTCAGAAAGTTGTGGAATTAGAGTGAATTAGAGAGATTTCGTAGTGTATTTTAAGCATCAACAAATCTCACATCTCCCTATGTGATTTCAAGAGAATTGAATCAAAATTTTATATGAAATTTCTACAAATCAATTAAACTCTATAAAAATCTATAAATTTATAAATCCATTAAAGTCTTTCAAATTTTCAATTGAATACAGCCTCCTTAGTACAAATGTAAAAGAATCCTTGAAGTTCTTCTGATAAGAAGCACATATATATATGCATTTTGAGTGTTTTTGAAACTCAAAAACACACTACTAGCTAGATAGTCCACTTTGTTTATTTGCATTGTATGAAACTCGGACTCAGTGTATTGAGAGGACGGAACGGCTCTAACTACCATAGCAATTCATCAGTTTTGATAAACAACAATTGTTGATAACAAAAACACTCCATATTTCATTTCATTTGGGTCAAAATTGATGAGAAATTGAAAAGAAGTAGGTCTCATTAACCCAAGCCCACTCTACAGCATTGACGATAGTTATCTGGGCTGCAGACCCAAAGTAGGTAGCCTTCGTAGCCCATTTAACAAAATTAAAAGTCCAATAGAAGCTGTTGGCTGCATGGTTTGGGTCAACTTTGGGTTCCAATCAACTGGTTTAAAATTTCTTCCATATGTTAGATATATCCGTGACATATCAAAAAAATCAGACAAAGATGTGGAAATGGATGGTGGAATGGGTCAACTTTGTGACCTTTATTGTTTCTTTAGAGACCAACGATTGCATGTATTTATATTCAAAGTTATGTAATACATGAAAATTAACCCATCTAATTCTATTTGGTATCAGAGCAGACTGCCACATTTTTAGCAAACTTCCATCATTTCCATCAAAGACAGTGATATCAATATAATCTTCGACATTTCCACAAATTTATATATGAATATTTTCACTGATACCAATATTTTATACGCTAACATAAGATTTAGGGTTTGAACTCCTAAACATGAAGAGTTAACATCAGCCGGATTAGGATTAGACACCAATTAAACATGAAGACCCCACCAATAACTAAATTTCTTTGAGGCATAATTTGACTAGCCAACCACATATGAAATTCTTTAGCAGACAAATATGAAAGAGCTCTCACTCACTCAAAAACACAACACCCAAAACTCACATTAAGGATTTTTCGTAGTTTGTTCCACATGAGATGACAACAAGATAAAAATTTAACATCTTATCATGGGTGGGGTTCACCCATTTATTTTAGAACGGAGTTTGGCTGCTAAAAAATCAGCAGCAGCTTCGGCTGCTTGCGAATAACAGATGGACAAGTGTCCAAGTAATTGATTTTTTAATTACAACTTGAACACATGCCCACCCTTGATTTGTTAGCAGCAGGAGTTGCTGCTAATTTTTTGAGGAGCCAAGCTTTCTCCTTTATTTTATTTTATTTTATTCTATTTTATTCTGAGAAACACCTGCTTTTCTTTTGAACAAAAAGGAAACACCAACCAAACTAAAGATGTGTTCTATCAAAAGATCATTTGACACTTAACTTTACTCATCACAATTTTTCTAGTAGTCTGAATCGCTGAATGGTCTGAAAAATATACGATGAAGACGGATTTCAAAAGTTTGAACAACAAATATTGTTAAAAAAGTGGGATGGAATGTAGAATAATCACTAGGTGCAAAACCTTGCAATTATTAAAGAAAGAATTCAACCATCAACCGGCATCTAATGTGGTATGTAAAATATAGTCTAAAAAATGGTCTCTCTACTCACACATACTATAATTAATATCCATCTGATGTGTTTTTTTTTTTTTAACTCGAAGTGCATTGCCAAAGAAAACGCCAAAGGTTGCAAAAAAAGTCCATACAAAAGACAAACCTAGGAGAAAAAACCGACTATTCCTACAAAGAAAAAAAGTGCAAGGGGGATACTAGGAGATAGACGCTGCAACGTTGGCTAAGGCGTCTCCTCACAAACACCATAAAAAAACCTTGAGGGTGTGTACAAGCGAAGATGTAGGTCTATTCACACAAATATAAACGCTCATCTCCCCCTTGCTACGCGACTAGTATATTTTTTTCAAATCTGATAAATTACATGTCATGTAAATGACAAAAATATTGTGAATATATCATGATTAGTAAAAGTATAGACTACACAGACATATTTGCATTTAGTCGTTGGCTTCCATATTTACCTTTAAAGAAAGAGCTGAAACTTCAGAGGGAGACTGGTGTGGGTGGAAGCAGTTTTAGGACCAAAGGATGCATAAGTTTGGTTCGTGCCTTTGTGAAAGGCTGTGGCAGAGAATTTGGCAGTCGGAGCATCTGATTCTAACATGTCCCAATCCTCTTACTATGAGAATTTCTTTTCTTCACATGGTTGGAAAGAATGTATAAAACAAAGTCATTTTTTGAAACCTAATGCTACAACTTTGTACACTTCAAGAAAATATCTTATGCACTAGTTACTTCAATATGACTTTCACATATGAGAGAAACGTGCCTAGATTAGAGTTGTTATTGTATCGGTTTTTTAAGTCAATCACATAGATTGCATGCATTTTATCTCTTTCACGTGACAATGTTTGATTAATTCAAAATACGATCAAGATAGCATTTTTGCTGAAAAAGTGATATTCACACATCATTTTTACTTCTCCCACACATTTGTTAATTTTTAGTTATTGATCTTTTTCAATTTATTAGATCCGACGGTCAAAAATTGAGAACAGTGTATGAGAAATAAAGTGTCCATAGCACTATCCTTTTGCTGAAAGGAATTTAGAGGATCACCTTGCATACCTTAATGAGTTTTTATATTCAAAGAAAGCATATTATAGAGCTACTTCTCAATGACGAAGAAACATAATTGAACCGGAAAAATCAGTATCGGTGTGTCGGTATCTCAAATCAATCACACCCCACATGCTTTAATGAATTTGAAGTTCAATACCTCACATACCCTGAAGATTTTGGTAAAACATTTAGTGAAAGAGGAAAATAAGTCAGGACCTTACTCCGTAGTATTCTGCAGCATGCAGCTCCCAT